TTTAAAATAATAATGCCAATATTATTGACTTGCGTTTCTGGGACGACTTTATCGTAAGATATTTCATTAGCGTTCATTAGTTTTATGAAAATTAGGTTGATTAGAATTTTGTGCATATGGAGTAATTTGATGATTTTTTTGGAATCTAGGGGGCTGAAATGTCCCTCTTGGATTATTGTTGAATTGCTGTTGTTACAAACGCATTTGATTCGGCCTTAAGACTGGCTGTGGCCATTGGGGCTTGGGCACCTCAGGCTGCCATCAAGTAGGAGCGGATGTATGAGTTAAATTGGGTCTATGTTGTTTGTGAAGTCGTAGATAGTTTATTAAAAGAAGATAAGAAATAATTATGAGTTTTTTGGAAATATCTAATGTTATTTTCTTCCTGCATATATTGGATAGCAAGAGTGAGATTCGGTGGTCTCATGGATCGAATTGTTGATCCTAGGGGTTCTCTTAGGCCTGACAAAAATGTAGTCAGAGCTTGTTGTTGGAAAACTTATTTTTTAATTCTTTTAACTTTCTAGTTTTCTGTGTGTAATTCAATATGATTTGAAATAATATTTAACAGACATAACTTTTTTATGAAATTGATGAGGGTTCTCGTTTGGAGCTTGACGAAGATTGACTAAATCTCTAGTTAATGAGTTTTCGTTACGTTGGTCTGCAAAATTTTGGACAAGCAAAATTTTGAACTGCAATACAATAATGTTAATGTATCGTAATTTGCAGAATTTATGCTCAGTGTGTTAGGTGATAAATATGAAGATAGCAAAAAAAATAAAAAAAAATAGTGGAATAAAATTACAATACAAAAAAGTTATTAAAAATACCTTTTATGATTTTGTTTTGTCAGTTTAAAATTCAACCTAGCAGAATTATTGGCTTCTCATAGAGGGTTAGTTGAGAGACGAAAAATAGTTAAACATAGGTAGAGCAAAGTCATGTGGTATTTCAAAATTTTTATTTGAATTAGCCAGCTTAATATTGAAACTTTCGCTTAATAGCTTATTATTGACTTACCACAAGGAGTAGTTAAGAAATGTAAAATTAAAAGGTTGGTAATACATTTGTAAAAACCTATCAAAACACGGGAGCACACTATTTAGCTAGGGGGAAAGTTTCCAAATAAAATTGCTTTAGTGGTAGAAAATAATCACGGTGGTAAAACTGTAGCACAAACTTACCAAAACACTTTTTTATTTCAATTATAAGTGGAGTATAGTGGAATTTAAAAAAATTTCTCTGTAAATTATAATCTAACAGAATTATTTATTAATAGAGTACAGTAAAATTGTAAAAATATATTTTTCGTCACCTTAAATTTTAACCTAAAAATTGTTGACTTTTCCCTTGGGTTAGTTGAAGGTGAAAAATTTCTAGAGTGCTTGTAAAGAGAGAACTTAAAACTTTAAAACATGTAGCCACAGAAACGGAGCATTCCCTCCCCGTCACCAGCGAAGACATATCAGAGGCTCTTAAAGACGTTAAGCCAGCAAAAGCACCAGGATTTGATAATATTCACCCTGAATTCCTACTAAATTGTGGCAAGTATACAAAAGTTTGGTTGGCTCGATTTTTCACAGACATCATGGAAACTGGAAATATCCCACAAGAACTAAAGCGCTCTAAGATAATAGCCATACCAAAGCCAGCTAAACCCGCTGACAACCCAAAAAACTACAGACCAATTGCGCCTCTCTCCACAATCTACAAGCTATTAGACAGGTTTATATATAATAGAATCAATACAGAACTGTTCAAGGTGATCCTAGTCGAACAAGCGGGTTTTCGACTAGAACGAAGCTGCGCGGACCAGGTAATGTCACTCACCACCTACATCGAAGCGGGCTTCCAAAGAAGACTTAAAACTTCAGCGGCATTTATTAATGTCTCGGCAGCTTACGATACAGTATGGAGAGAGGGCCTTATATACAAAATTCTCCGTACAATCCCCTGTAAACAAATAGCACGTTTAATACATAGCATGCTCATGGATCGAATGTTTCAAGTAGTGATGGGCACAGATATCAGCCCACCAAAGAAACTTAAGAATAGCCTACCACAGGGGTCAGAGCTCTCTCCATTATTATTTAGCTTATATTTAGCAGATATGCCAGAAACATAATCAAGAAAGTTCGGATACGCCGATGATTGGGCCCCTACTACACGATGCAGAACCCTAGAAACATCTGAAGAAGTTCTGACGGCAGACTTATATATATTGAGCAAATATTTTCGCAAGTGGCGGCTTTAACCAAATGCATCCAAAACAGAAGCAAGTTGCTTTCTCCTGAACAATAAACTTGCTGGAAAGGAACTCAACATAGGGTTTGAAAATACCACACTTTCGCACAACAAAACACCGAAGTACCTGGGCGTAACACTAGACAGAACGCTATCATTTAAAGAGCATTTAACAAAAACTTCCCAAAAGTTGAGTACAAGAAATAACATTATACAGAAGCTCTGCGGTACCACCTGGGGAGCATCGGCTGTCACTCTCCGCTCTACTGCTTTAGCCCATGTTTTCTCGACCGCTGAATATTGTGCCCCAGTTTGGCTACACAGTCCACACGTAAAAAAGGTCGACACTCAGCTGCACAGCACTATGATGATGATAGCTGGTACAATTAAATCAACTCCCACCCAATGGCTTCCAGTATTAAGTCACATTCCACCTCCACATTTACGACGAGTTGACGTACTAACACGTGAATACAAAAAGATCATGAACAATATAAACCTGCCGATCCAGCAAGATACCGAGGAAGCACGAAATACCCGTCTACGTTCTAGAAAACTACCAATGAAAACGGCAAGAATGATACATGAGGAGTTCAACATCACGAATGCATGGTCCCAAGAATGGAATGTATGGCAAAATAACATGCCCTGCATTACCCACAAGCCACCAGGTTTTGATCTTCCACGTAAAACATGGTCCACTCTAAACAGGATCCGAACCAGACATGGCAGATGTGCATATATGCTACATAAATGGGGAAAGAATCCGTCTCCTCAATGCGACTGTGGGAAGAACCAAACGATCGACCACATTATTGAAGAGTGTCCCTCAAGATCCCACAATGGTAGCCGTGAAGACTTAATGTTTGCAACTTCAGAGTCAATTGATTATGTTAATACACTTGATGTTTGTTTGTAACTATTTAAAGTTTGTCATATACCTATATTACTAGTGTTTGTAATTTTGTTCTAAATGTGTTGTAAATAAATTTTGTTATCAAATTGCCATATGATAAATAAAATAAATACTAGGGTGGTACTTCAAAAATAATTGTTATTAATTCCGGTGGCTCGAATATTAAGTTAGCAGAAACGTTTTCAAATAATATTGGTTTAGGGGTAAAAAATTATCATAGTGATCAAAGTTTAGTCTAAACTTAACAGTTCTTAACACTTTTTTTTATTAAGTAGATTGGAGTGAAATTTTAAAAGAATATTTTTTCACCTTAAATTTTAACCTAACAGACTTATCGGCTTCTCATAATAGGCAGGTGAGGTAAAGCTAGCAGGAACGTTTCCAAATAAGATTAGTTTAGGGGTGCAAGATTATTAGGGTGGTTAAAGTTTATTAAACATTTAAAAAACAATTTTCTATTTCAGTATAAGTAGAGAAGAGTGAACTAAAAAAAATTCCCCCCTTAATTTTAATCTTAGAGAATTATTAATTTTCCATAAGGGGTAGTTAGGTGATAAATTACCAAGGTGGTAATAAATTGATAAAAATCTAGCAGAGCATTGTGGTATATCATTTTTTTTTTTTATTCTACTAGTTTTAACCGTAAGTCAGCAAAATTTCTCCCTTTAAGGGTGATTTTGTGGTGAAAAATTAATAGGGTAATAAATTAGTGAAAATAAGTAGACAAATATGCCACCGGCAAAATTTTTTTTTCCAAATTCTGCTAACTTGAACCTTAAGACAGTAGAAATTCTTTCCTTAACGTTGGTTTGGTATTGAAAAATTATTAGATGGGTAATAAATTAGTGAAAATGGGTGAAAAAATATTACGTAGATTAAATTGGATTCCGCTCATTTGTCCTCGCTAGCTTAGGGTCCTTTAAGAGACAAGTTCAGCGTGTCATTTATCGGTCTGGGAAGAGGATCGACCGAAGAGGAGGTTTACGTGCTATAGACTTTAAACAAGCAGAAGAATTCATGATGAACTACTGCAAGTAGACACATATTATAAGGTCATCGAAAATTCACTTTAGTTTATAGTGCTAAACAAAAAATAAAAAGAAGAAGAACGTATCATCCCACAAGAGAACCGATAAATTATATTTGAAGAAATACCAGTGCCTTGATGGAATATCACATCATTCTTAAATTTTAATTATCTCCAATACGAAAGCTACAAATACAGCACTTGTTCCTGAAAAATCTAAAGAGGGATAAAGGCAGCTACGGGCCTTAACGCATCAGTCTGATTATTTTTGCCACACTGGCAGACGCAACTTTAAAAAGATATAATTTAAAATTTGCAGAAGACAACAGGAGATAGATATCTTCGAAAGATACTATCCTAAGAAAAGAAAGATTACGCCTTAAAATAGATTTTTAGCCTATTATATCAATAAAACAGTTACAGCAATAAACAACAATAATAAAAATAAAGTAATAAAAAACGTAAGAACTAAAAAATGCTGAATGGGAGAAAATCAACTTAAAATAATCTGCTACGCAGACGACGCAAATCTACTCTCTCAAAGTGAAGATGATTTACAACGTATGATAATAGAAGAAGTCACGAAGTTTAAATATCTAGGCTTCGCATTATCTAGCTAATGAAAGTTTGAAACTGAAGTAGAAGATCAAAGGAATGGAGCAAGCAGAGCCGCAGGTTGCCTGAGTGAAATAATATGGAGAAATAAAAATATCTGGAGAGAAATGAGAGACACAATTTATAAAACAGTCATCAGACCAATAATAAGAAACACGACCTAAGACAAAGAGGACAAAAAGATGTTACAAACAGCAGAGATAAAAATACTTGGGACAAAGGCAGAAGTACAGATATACGACGTGGATGCAAGGTGGAGAACATTAAGAACTGGATAGGAAATAGAAGAGTAGAGTGGAAAGATCATATAAGTCGAAGTACAACAAATAGAGTAGTAAAGACGACAAGAGACGGTTCCTCAATAGGAAGATGATTGGTAGGAAGACCACGAACTCGATGGAACCACAACTTACTGGAGGCACATTGAAAAAAGACAGAGTTGGATCTACATTAAAAGAAGACAAAGAAGAAGAAGAAAAAACCACTAATTTGAATTCGAATAAAGACTGGTGCTTCGTTTGTAGAATATCACACCATTCTTCAATTCCAATTAATTTAAATACGAAAGTTGAGACACGCGGATTTTCAAATAATTATGAGATGACAAATAAATCAAAATAAATACTCTTTCTTTCTTAATTTAAAATATATTCTAAAGCACGGTGATAGGTATTAACTTCATCTTTAGTGTTTCAATTCTGATATTTATAAAACGGTTTAAATTTACATTTAACTAACTACATAGAAGCTAACGTTAATTTTTCTGCATATACATCATACTCAATTTTTGTCCAAGCAATCTTTTCTTAATCTTCCTAATACATTTTTAATTACATTAAAAATTCATCATCAAAGAGCTGTAGGGTTGACTAAAAGCTACACAAGGGTCGGAACAATTTCCTTTGTAGTATACATTTAGCTGTGAATACTTAACTTCATGATTAACATATTTAATTTAGTACCTTTAAAAATCTCGAGATACACTTTTCGTTTAATTGTACTGTATTTACGAGTGTTTTTAATTTCACGAGTAGTCTTTAGATTACGTTTGTTTACAAAACAGCTGTTATATTAAAGTTTGATTAAGGATATTAAGTTCATAATATACAATAATAATAAACATAGTCAACAAGTCAACAGTAAATAATTTGTTTCGTATAAATTAAAAATCATCGTGTGTGTTTATATAAAAATATTTATTTTCCAAGCCAAAGCTTGCAATCCCACTAATATTTAGTATTCGTTAACCTTTCAGTAGACGCAGTTTGTATAGGAGACCGGTGGGAGTCAATGACGGTCAAGTCTAAAGCCAATCGGAAGCTTTCATGTTTCTCCGGCTATGTACATTCTTTTGATAGTGTGCCTATGATAGTGTGTCAGATATCCCGTGAAATCACAAAGTCACCACGCAGAAACAAATTTGAAAGTGGGGGTCTAGTAAAGCTATTCGTGCAGTTAACGTTATGCACGCCATACACACTACGGTTTATCGGAGAGGTCTACCTGTGCAGGCATGCCTGCGCAGGTAGACCGGAACGTGTGTGGGAATAGACCTGTGCAGTTTTTTGAACCTGTACAGGCGACCGGAGCAAAATCAAAAATCAATTTTTTCGAGTGACACCGCACGATGTACCTGTGCATCTGTGCGTGTACTCAGGCCGCCTGCGCAGGTCGCGTCAGTTGTTTTCTAGTGTTTCTCTAGGAAAGTCGTCTTGTCGTTCGCATCGTGGAATACATCCTAGTAATCAATTCACGATGGAAGTTGAGTCTGAAGCGTCTTTGCCACTCCTTGATGTCCTTATTCAGAATAACTTACCTCACAGTTTTTCCTATTCCGTGTACCGAAAACCCATTCATACAAACCGATATCTTAATGCCCAGTCACATCATCACTTCGCCCAACTCAATTCAGTGGTCAAGACTCTCATTTCTCGTTCCATAATACTTAGCGACAACTATCATAGGTCATCCGAAATCAATTCAATAAGGCAAACACTCTTACAAAACGGCTGCCACAAAACCCAAATCAATAAGAGCATTCAAAAACATCTAAACCCCATTCCACCCAAAAAAGAAACCTTGCCGCCGGATCAACCCAAAATCTTTCTACCTTTTAGTGTCACTGACAAAATCAGTAGAACTCTTTTTCCTCTAAACATCAAAACATAAACTTTTCTTCACTTGTATACAATGTTTGGGACACACTGTATATCATACCTCACCAAAAATGATTCCCTTATCCTTTTAGTCATTAAATTGTTGTGTAAATTATTTAAAACTCATTTTTTCATATATCTAACTAAAAATACCCAATATTACTGTAATCCTCCACATACTGACAACATTGTAAAATTTTTAATATCTACCGAGTGTATCAAGCCGTACAATGATGGTAACGTTCGGGTAAATTTCTTCCTTTTCTGGCCGAATACTTTCTCTCTCTGCGCACTAGAAGCTCCGCCCGTTTCACGGGGTTCCTGTTCACCAGTACTATTTTTCGACTGTGTACTGTGTATTATTGCAGTGTTGATGCTCGAACTATAAGTTTGTAATTTGTAAAACCGGTGCAGTGGACTGTGTACATTTAAAGAACTAATAAGAATTTTGTGACTTGTAAATAGTTGTTTTATAATAAAACTTAATTTTTCAGATACTAAGGATTATGAAAAAGAACAGAAGGGATTTTTAGCACTTTTTGAAGAAATTTCGACGGGTGATGAGTATGATAATAAATATGAATCGGAAGAAGAAGATCACGTAGAGAAAAGCTTGGAAGGAAGCGATACGGAACAGGAAAATGAAGAATTAGATGGTGAGACAGATTTTGCTATTGGTCCATATTTTTTGGGCAAAGATAATAAAACAAAATGAGTTAAGCATATTGCCCCTAAAAACATCAGAACTTGAAGTGAAAATATTGTTCTGCAGCTTTTGGGTTCAAAACAATGAGTCAGACAGAAAATCGATATTTTAGATATCTGAAACAATCTATTTGATACTGATATGTTGCAAATAATTCTTGATGGGACCAATACAAAAATAAAAGCAGAAAACTTGCATAAGTTTGGGTCGCGATCGAGATATATATCCAACAAACATTGATGAAATTCGTGTCTTTTATGTCTCCTATATCTTGCAGGTGTAAGAAAGACAAGTCACCTTTATACAACAGACTTATTACATAATATTACATATATACCTTAATACATATATACCTTAATACATAATAACAGGGCATAATAGAGGTAGTTTGAATAAATTAGCGCCAATAAGAGGTCTTATTATCAAGATCACCGAAAATCAGAAAAATATTTCTCTCATTCGCAAAACGTAACCGTGGACGGAAAGTTAAAGGTTTTTAGAGGACCTATCTAGACACCAGTACCAAGGCAGTGGCAGAACGGGCCTCTCAACATCTTTACGGATTTAAGAAAAATGTTATCACCAATTGGTACATCAGCGTTGATCTTGGTATAACCTGTAAAAAAATGGTTTAGCTCTCTTGTGAACAATAAAAGTATATAGAAAAGAAATGTATGCATATTTCTTTAACAATTAAGGACGACCTATTGGCTCTAGTATATTTGGGTTTAGTTCAAGAGGAACTCTAGTGTCATCTAAACCAAAAAAAATTCACTGTAACATTATTCCAGCATAATTTTATTATATTGTTTGTCACCTTTTATATTTTTTATGCTAAATCTTACTGAAATAATGTTTTATTTTTGTTTAAGATAGTTCTTGAAGACTAATATGTTATGTTCTGATTTTAAAATAATTGTACTTTGTTGAGTAAAAAAAAATAAATTAAACTATAACAAACATTGTGGACTATTTTTTGTGCTACATAAATAAACAAAGGGCTATTATTAAGACCGGTGTAGTCGACTGTGTGTGACTATTGATACACATAATTAATCTGCGTCTACTGAAAGGTTAATCCAGGAAAGTAACCAACTTACAGGCAAAAAAACATATACTCAGAGAACTAGTACTCTATCTCGGATTAGTAGATCTACACAGTGATGACTCACGCTAAAGAAAGAAAAACAAAAAGTTTAGTACCAAATACCTTCAGATTCAGATCAGAAATCTGTTTTATTTAAAAAAACACCCAACATGGAAAAACACCCATGGATATTTACAACTAGTCAGAAAGATTAGATTAACGAGCTGCTTTTTAAAACTAATGTTTGTTGAGTTTTCTCCAATAGTATTCCCAATTTTTTTTTTAAACAGCTTAAACATAGCCCTTCGCACTCACAGAACTTTTAGACATAAACTTATTGCACTTCAAAGATTTTACACCAACTCTAAAGGTTTACATTTTTGAGTCTTATCACTATTCTATGCTAATCCAGGAGTTAACTAGCCTCCTCATTTGCCTGGTTGTGGAGTTTGTTTTCATGCTTCTTTGCAAATAATCAAATCTGCGACCATTTCACACCAAGGTCTTCCACATGTAGGTCGCTACTTCTCCTATACCAATCGCTGCTTTTAATGTAACTTGCACTTGCACATCCCCAAAGTTGTATGATATATGTCCATACTGGTTGAAGTACCTCTTTATATGTATATCATAAGCTTATTATGTATCGACATCTCCGATTTTCTTGTAAGAAGCCATTATAGTTTTTAATATTTGCTGATAAATTCTATTTTTTTTTGATGTTTTTTCCATCTTAGCCTGTCATATAAATTCAAGTACAGATATTTTTCTGCATTGATAAATATTGGTGTTTTATTTATTTTTGTTGTTGTTGGAGGAATCTGCATGTCGTCGTCTTGATTATTTGTTACTTGGTGAAAAATTTATCTAATAATTTTATTTTCTCTGACTGATTCATATTAGCAATTTAAACATATACTATATATTTTAAAGTCTACAATTTTAATCAAATAGCTAAGACTACAGAGTGGCGTTCCTGGGAGAGAAGAGAGATTCATTCGATTACATGAATTCAAGTTTAATTTGAAAATACTTTTCAGAAAAATCAGGTCATTTCACATAGCACTAAAAGATAACCACATGCAATGACTACAGTAAAAACACATAAGTGATGTATCCTCGATATTTTGTTGAGTTACTAACAGTAGTGATATTTTCTTCTTATTGATTTCCTATTTTCATATGGGTAACTAAATCCTGCTCTATTCTGTCGAGGAATTTGCGACACAATTTGTATCATTTATGATAATTGGAGCCGCTTCTGTGATTTTTCTCAAATTATCAAAGATAGTGTGTTGTTACATTACTTTTTCATGGTAAATGTTATTGTCTCTTCTTAATTCTTTATA